CTTTCGAGGTGAAGACCGGTGTCAGGCAAGGTTGCCTACTCTCACCCTTTCTCTTTCTCCTGGTCATCGACTGGATTATGAAAACGCTGAAATCCGGAGGGTAGCACGGTATTTAGTGGACAGCTATGACGCAGCTGGAGGATCTGGACTTTGCAGATGACCCGGCTCTTCTACCGCACACGCAACAACAAATGCAAGAAAAGACGACCAATGTAGCAGCCACCTCTGCAGCAGTAGGCCTCAACATATATAGAGCGAAATTCTCCAATGCAACACAACATGCACCAACCAAATCACTATTGATGGAGATGCCTTGAAGGACGTTAACACCTTTACATATCATCGACAACCGAGGTGGATCCGATGCAGATGTGAGGGCGCGGATTGGCAAAGCGAGGGCTTCATTTCTACAGTTGAAAAATATATGGAACTCCAAACAACTTTCAATCAAAACCAAAATCAGGATTTTCAATACAAATGTCAAGACAGAGTTCTGCTGTATGGAGCGGAAACTTGGCGAACTACGAAAGCCATCATCCAGAAGATACAAGTGTTCATTAACGGTTGTCCCCGCAAAATATTTCGTATTTGTTGGCCAGACACCGTCAGCAACAACGAACTGTGAGAGAGAACAAACCAGATTCCAGTGGAGGAAATCAGGAAGAAGCGGTGGAAGTGGACAGGATACACACTACGAAAAGCACCTAACTGCGTCACGAGACATGTCCTAACATGGAACCCTCAAGGTAAAAGGAAAAGATGAAGTCGAAGGAACACATTACGCCGAAAAATAGTGATAGTTATGAGAGGATTGAACAAACATTGGACAGAACTGGAAAGCGAAGCCCAGGACAGAGTTGGTCGGAGAAAACTGGTGGTCGGCCTATACTCGATTGGGGGTGACAGGAATAAGTAATTAGGTAATTATTTCATATCATTGCATACTTAGTGAGAAAGAAGTTTTCCTGAGTTTTTCATTTATGCTTCTCAAGTTTGGTAGCAGATACCTAATCTCGAAGGTTATGAATACATGGGTCTTGGTTAAGGGCTACACTAGAAGAGGAGTTTATGGGCTTGTATAGGAGCTTAAATCAAAGGATCAGATTGGACGTAAGCCATCTATTCCATAGTGGACCAATTCCAAGTTCATCAAATTGAATAGTTAATGACTACTATATTTTAAAGTATTTTACGAATAAAATTCCTTTGTATTCCTCCAAACTTAAGCAGATTAGATAGGCGGAAGTCGAGAAATAAGAATGATCAGTATTCAGCAATAGGTGAGTGAAATTTATTTTTGCAGACTTGTCTCCGAAGCACATCCAGCCACATTTGGCAGTATTGAGTTCAAAGTCCCAACACATAAACCAGTTATCTACATTATGGAGATCATACTGGTTTGTTTAAGTCAAATTTCGTATGTCACGTCTCTTAGTTTCATAAATCCCTTTTAGGTCATCAGCGCAGAAGTAGGCTTTGCAACTGTTGAAGTAACTGCATATACTGTTGATGAAGATAAGAAAAGAACGGGATGGATAGAAGGTACGACATTCCAAATGGTGATCTGGTGAGGATGCTTTACAAAGTTTCTATAGATAGAGTGAATCCAGTAGAAGTACTGAGTTCATTATCAATGTCAGAGATCTACAGGACTGTTTATTTCGTAGATTTATTTACAGTCACAATAACTGAAGGCATCCCAAGTGAGTTCGCTTGGCGGTAAGGAACAATTGAACTTAGCTTTCAAAGGGATAATTTAATTGATTGGTTAAGTTAGTACTTTGAAAAAAAAGGGTGCACCTAGACTATAACTAATTCAAGAATTTATCCTCATTTCATCAGGAGATTTACTTAGAAGGAAATGCTTGAAAATTGTTTGAGCGTACATTACACTACCAGATGAAAGTAAAGCAATTGGTTCGTTAGCGTCTGATCATAAGAGTTTACAGAAATAAGACCAACCCTTGAAAGCCCCATGTTTTCATCCTTTAAGAACATTTATGAGGCCTTTTCAGTGAAACTACAAGTTTAAGGTGGATAAATCACATTTGGGAGAGTGAGTCTTCGGTTTCGGTGCGGAATTTATCCATCCGTATGGGCAAATAACACTTTGGCAGTATACCACGACGTTATACGCAGTGGCCCATATTCTCCTTTTAGCAAGCACTTACTTACGAAGGTATTAGCCGACACGTTTATTCCTCGCGTTTTTGATCCGTTAATATTCTTAAATTCTATGAAATAGATCCATTATAAATATTACCTTCTAACTATTTCGGTCTTAGCTAACTAGGAAGATGGGTCTTCAAGACGCGATCTTTAAGCTACCCGCAACTTCGCCACAGAAAACAGTATTTTATCAGTTTGTAAAATTATTGACACATCGATAAAACATAAGATTATGTTGTTATGTCTATAGGATGTACTGAACAATCTGATTTTTAACTGTGCACAGTCCATTACAAATGTTCCGGTCACCAAAGAACCAGCGGTCAATTGAAACAAGCTATAAAATATCCAGATTAAATCTACTATGAGCACTTTTTCTGTCTAAGCAAACATCGATGGACGTACTCGGCCTCAGCTGTCTGTTATATTCAGCTGAAAAAGAGAGTACCTGTATATTATTATTCACCGAATTGTTGGTATTTTAGGTCACGTAAATTAAGAATGACTCTTGGTATCTATGAAACAGATCAATTTCGTAATAGATTCGCGTGACTCCTCCACCGGCATGATAATATTCTCTCAGTTCTCCATTATCTTGAATTATTTCGAATACCTCTTGTCCTGTGGCACAACCCGAAAGTACAGCAGTTTGCTCTTGTCGATGGCTAATTCCTACTTCACTATTTTGATATCAGTAACAGTGACGTCTTTGCAAGTGAACGACGATAACTTTCCCGTCCATGGACCACAAAACATCTACGAAATGACTAATTTATGATTGTGGATCGTCCTCCATGACTTCATGGAATATCTTATGTGAGTCAAGGATATCCAAAACATAGACTTGTAGTGCCTACACATACATTCCAGTTCGCTTACATCTAACTTGGTTAAGCCCTTTGGATTATTTTTTTAACCAAGCCATTTGTATTGCAACAATTTAGAAGTACCATTCGTTCTTATTATTGTCTGGCTTGTATGAGCTCACATGACATGTCCCACTTGTCATTTAATCTTGTCTATCATTCGTCAGTTTTATTCATGTGTGTGCACGCCTATTTCGCTTGTCATATGTCTGCCTTATTTTTGTCTGACTATATATATCTTAGTCGTGCTCTATCTCTTTGAGTTGGCTCTTAGCCTTCTCCAGTTCAGGTTGCTTCATTTGTTTTATTCACTGCTTCTCCGCTTCGCTTTGTGGTGTGTCCCGAATAATCGTATTCATCACTACGAATTCATCTTCTGATTTATAAATCGTCAGACGCTATTTGGCAAGGATTGTCTGAACGAGTTAATTACCGAGCTTAAGAACACGCAGTAAAACGGCACAAAACAGACTGATGCAATCCATTATTCAGCGCCTTAACGGTTTATGGAAAATCCGTCCTCCTTGAGGCCATTCATTTACCATCACAAGTATGTTTCAATACAACGAACTTATACTTCCAAATTGCCACAACTCCGCATACATGTAGTGAGTGTGCATTGTCCATAAAACTATAGAAATACCCCGATCCTACGCGTTGCAATGCAGTAATTGTATTTTTGAAAGCACTTCAAAACAAGATGAGTTTGTGGCGGTGTTTCGTTCTCTGAGCTGGTTTTTTTAGTTGTGGAGCTTTCATTGTTCTTCTGAATAACATCATCAGCACAAACTTCAGATAGAAGTTTAAACATGTGCGCGAGTCATTGGGTGTTACGAAACCCAAAGGCGAAGTGAAGGTAAAGGTTCGGCATGTCCGGGCAGAGGTGAGATCCCGCTGTCTTGCTCATACTTTCCAAGTTGCGAGCAGTGGGCGCATCACCGGCCCGTCCCATGACGTAGACATGTGACCTTGCGTTGCGTGCACCGTCGGGGCGGAGCAAGAGCGTACACGATGAGACCCGAAAGATGGTGAACTGTGCTTGGGAAAGTTGAAGCCAGAGGAAATTCTGGTGGATGACCACAGCGATTCTGACGTGCCAATCGATCGTATAACGTGAGTATAGGGGCGAAAAACTGATCGAACCATCTAGTAGCAGGTTCCCTCCGAAGTTTCCCTCAGGATAGATGGCATTCTGAGAACCTGACTTCTATCTGAAGTTTGAGCTGATGATGTTGTTCAGAAGAACAATGAAAGCTCCACAACCAAAACAACCAGCTCAGAGAACGAAACACCACCACAATCATCCACCTGAGCTACAAGTTTTCTCCATTATCTCACGAGAACAGTTTGTTCAGTAACAGCCATTCAGAATGCTCACGTATATTAATCGAAATATTCTGGGAACGGAAAGGCTTGACCAGTAAATGAGGACATTTTACTGTGAGCGCAAATAAAGTCCATAGGATTGCATGTAAATCTATTTACTGATATCCTCTTATTATTTGAAAACAAATATTATTATTAATAACATAGTCTTCGATGAAGTGGATATAACTGCAGTATTCCGATGAAAAGATTGTTCAAAAACAGATTCAGTGTTAGCACTAAAATAAAGCAATTGAGATGTTTATCAACAACTGTTAAGGTTTTCAGACGCGAACGATCTGCCTGACCATAATAAAATTTCAGACTGAGTCTAGGTTGCATACGACCAGCTAACTGCGAGTAACTTAGACATGAAATATCCACTTCTTGCCAATACGTTCGTGGTCGTTGAACCAAAAACCGAGCCTGATTTTTCACCCACCACTTAAATACAGTTTAAGTATTATAAGTTTGTAATAAGGCTCCTTAATCCTAATCCTAAAGCTTACATTCTTGGCTAAATGTTATTCCGAATCACTCACTCTAATACACTCACCTCTTTCAACCATAGAACTTGAGCATTCTCAAGGTCACGTTGGTGTCCTTCAAAGGTTACCCGTGGTTGTAGTCTCACGGAATGCGCACATTGGTAAGATTTCATATCTTTTGCTTTCTTACTTATAGGTTATACCTTCTTAATACGAATAAACTCTGTCGTTCTTATCTGTTGGTGAACCTAACAAACGTGTTAACTAGTTAGTAAAATATGATGACGAAGAAAAAAAATAGCGCATCAGTTATCCTTGAACTAAAAGAATTAATTGATCATATCAACAAAACTATTCCTAACGTCCCTGGAAAACAACGTCTGATTAGAATGTGCCAAAAAGAGACGGCTCATTTTGAGTCGGTAAGTCCTGTTGATGTTACTTCTTTCCGATTTTATTGATTCGAAGGCGAGATTTACTTAGTCATGATACTTTAGCAATCTGTCAAAAAGATATAAATCCATCTTTTCAAATCCGCTGGCCAGGTTCAAATTAGAAATTGTCGAATACTCCATTTTCAGTAAATCAGATCTAGTAGATTAATCGTGATGCTTATGTAAACTCTATGTAAACCCTAATGTTTCCACTGCAGCGTCTTTGTCTTTCGGGTTTATTGTTCTAATTTTGATGTGAAAAGAGTTAAACTCACCAGTCAGTTGGTTGTGTGCAATATAAAACCCAGTACATACTGTTCATTTTCTAATAACAAATTAAGGTCTAAGCAGTCATTGGTTAATGGTCCCTTAAACGAGCTCATGAAACTTGCAGCTCAGGAGTATCTTCATAACTGAAGACAAGTACATTAAGTGTATATTCATGGGGTCTAACTATACTATTGATGAAATAAAAACCTCACGATTTAAGTTAACAAGGTGTCTCGTCTGTTCTCAGAGCAGCTGTAAATACAGTGAGTATTTTCTGAATACACGTCAATAAGCCTGTTCAATGTCATCAAAGCAACTGATCCTCAAAGACTCATTTTAGCTAATTCTGGGTTAGATAAGTTGGGGAAACAACATAGACATAGTTTTACTGGGTTCTTATCTACATAGTAGTAGTTGACTGTTACTTAAGCTTTTTGGAGATGTACCCCAGAAATGTAAACAATCATCTAGTTCATAGTCTTAGATGGATCTTTTTAAGCTTGTCGTCGGTGACGGCTGGAAGTTTGAGCAAAGTGCCTAGAGGAGATTAGTTCAACAAACCGGTGTCTATGTTTCTGTTGCTCAGTGTCTAGTAGTAACCTAAGCAACACATTAACATCGGCCCTTAAGCTACTGTATAGACTATGAAAAAGATGTCATGTATATAATATGTATATGAAACATCTTCAGTAACCCCAATTTTTCTGGTACGGCCGAGATTCAGGAGGGTTCACTATACCTTTCAAAATGCTCCCACGATTATGCATACTTAGTCACTGCCAGAAAAGTCCTGCTCACTGGAGCAAATGGTATACGAATCTATTGTTGGTCGCCGGGTGCCATAAGACTGCATATCCCGATGTTACTTCGGTGCTCTGTGTGTTGGACCTCTTAGTCTAAAGGCTTGGGAAGTGGCTCCTTAAGGAAAATACCTGCTCCCGGACAGTGTGGCGCCTAAATATTTAGGTGCTCCTTTGTATCAATAATTGTGTCTAACTAAATAATAGAACTTCAGCATTGATATTCAATTTAAGAATAGCGAGTGATCAGTTCATTCCATCTACTCGAAGACTAGTATAATTCTGAATAAGTTGTTAATCATTCATTTATCCGAAATATCATTCAAAAAACGATAAATACTTATTAATGGAGACTATTTCTCACCCTTAGCAGTAACTAAATCAAATTCAAATCTGTTGAACAAGTCAATGGCTATTTGAATTCCATTATTTTGTGTATAAATCATTATTCTTTTTTGAGGAAGTATATTGGGTTCGAATCTCTGTGAACACTGGTGCAGGTACATTCACTTGATAAGTTCTAAATATGACAAAACACTCACTTTAGGTCCCGCTATTTATTACAATCTATCTATTCTAATGAAGAAAAATGATAGTTTCATATACTTCGTTTGTTAACACACCTTATAGATTGATTAGTTTTGGTAATATACATTAATATCACTTGTAAATGATACTCTATTATTACATATGAAATATGTATGTCTTTCTTTTTACTGTTTTGTTTTTGAAAAAAAATCTATTTTCAGTTACCGTCTGACTTAGTCGATGATGCAGTTGTCTGTTCAAATTTACCATATTTCAAAGCGATAACAACACTTGCAAATGCTTATGGTAATCGTCTTGTAGATTTGTTATGTCGTTATCGTTTACCTACGGATTTAACTGACAATTGTACACCGCATTATTCACAACAATTTGATGATGATCAAAATCATAATGTCAATGCTTTGGATTTTACTTATTCAAGTAGTAATGACTATGTATTACGATACGAGAAACAAGGTGACATTTTTTAGTTCTTTTCTTTTTGTTCATAGTTTTCTTACATATGTTTGGTTATTCATTTATTTTTCTACCTCTGGAGACAGAAATCCATGGGGTAAGGTGAGGTGTAGTATTTTTAGGGTCGATCTTTTCTAACCTCTTTTTTGTCTTCTCTCAAATTCTAGTCTTATGATGAATTCCTCATCACCTTTATCTTTCTATTTAAATTAATTTCACTGGATTGTAATTCTTGAATAATATCTTCAAACCCGAACCTTCTCCATTACCACTAACACATCTACTACATCTAACATTATCGGATTTTACTTGAAAATTCAATTTCTATACTAATTGCGTTATCGAAACTTGAACTGATGTATGTACGTACGTACGAAGTTCTACGTTGTAGCCTACTGACTCTATAATAAAGAAGTACAGTTCAAGTTAGTCAGTTAGTTAGTTATAAACAGTGTAGAGAACCTTGTATATATGCGTGTTTCGTTTCAAGGTATTACACGGCATCAACACAGTAAGATAAAATTATCAAGTTAAATCCCCAAGTAGTTAAAATAGCCATAAGAAAGATAAGGGATAGACGATTTGATTCAAACAGTAAGTGTAGTTTATAATGTGGAAGAATTTCTATGAGGTAATTGAATAATCTAAGACAGAAAGGTCGTTGCAAGTGATTCTAGGCCGTGTTCAAAGTCTTTCAACCACTGATTAAAATAATCGCACGAACCTCAATCAATTAGTCTATTTCCGTTCTGCCTTTCATATGGCCTTGTACCGAACAAATTTTACGAATTAACTCTGAGTATTAGTTTTATTTTGAATCAATGCCAACCTCGACGGGAGATGTTAGGTGATTGGAGGTGTTTAACCGAAAATCCGAAACATAAGTTCCCTACTTATTGGCACTCGTCATCAGGGTGTATCTATGATCTACAGGAAACTAATACTCCCTGATAGATTCAACCTTGTATCACCCAGCTTCATGGTTTGAGAATTTGTTAGTGAGCTATTCGTGTTACGACTTTTCTCTTGCAGAGTTTGCTACTGACTGACTCCAACCATGTAACATCAAAACTTAGTATAAACGATGTTGTATTACTTAGACTAGTCACTATATTGAAACTCGATCTTTATTTCCACAGGAGCAGCTGAACTGGTAAGTTGGCAATAAAAATAAATAACTTATCCTTCACCTCAGCAATCATTATCAGTTAACGAAACAAAAAAACTACCAATTAGAATGATTGATTTTGTATAATATTGCTTTTATAATGACTAGTCTATCACATAAGATATCAGTGTATCTATTTTTATTATTCTAGTTTTAAACAAAAGGAAATTTTCAGTCTACTTATGTATTTATTTAACTAAATTTATTCTGAGTATTTATTCAGGTAATTGCACATTAAAACGTGAAGTATACTCTGTATAACAATTTACCATTGTCTATCTAGGGGATATTTTTATTTCAAGTTGAAGAGATACGTAGGTTAAATGTATTCAGTTATCAATATCTACTTGAAACATTGGCTTTTATATCTACTGAATGATTTACCGCGTATTTGGCTTTTAACTAGTTTAAGAGCAAATGACACTAACCGATTGCTTAGACCGAAAGAATTGAAGCAGGGTTCGAACCTAAGCCTTAGTAGTTTGAAAGTCAAGCGCTCCTAGCCATTAAGCTCCATCTTTTTATATACGATATAACTTTCAAACAAACAACACTGGTTAGGTTTGTAGTAGCATTAATAGTTATTAAGCATAATGAATTCGATCGATATACCTTTATAGACTGTTATTTTTTCTCCTCATATTTATTTCATCACGTTTTAGCTATGCACATTCGTGTGTTAGGCTCTAAATGTATAGTTTCAGTGTTATGCGTCTGCCTTTAGGGACCTTTTATAAGCATATATATAGATTATTCGGTGTTGATGCCATTTATTTGAGCCGTGATTCAAAGTCTAACTATCAGTACTGTTGCCTCGCGGATCCCAACCAGGTAGTCTAGACCTACTAACATGGTTCAGTCCAGTTGTCAGTGACTTCATGGATTGACAACTGAACTGAACCATGTTGGAAGGTGTAGGCTACCTGGTTAGGGTTCGGAAGACATTAGTAACCAGTGGTTGGAGACTTTCAATGACATGGCTGAAATCGTTTGCAATGGCACAAATGCCTACATTCTTTGTTTTCTCTCAAATCCAGATCTTCTGAATTCCTCATGACCTTTTTCTTCACTTTCTAAATTTATCTCACTGGATTATACTCCTTGAATGATTTATTCAAACCCTAATCTTCTCCATTACTGCTGATACTGATGATAATAATCGGTTGTTAGAGACCTTAAATGACATGGCTCAAAATCGTTCGCAGTGGCGCCGGTGCATTTATGCCTTGTGTTCTCTCAAATCTTAATCTTCTGGGTTCTTCAACAACTCTAGTTTTGACTTTCCAAACTTTTCTCACTCAATCATACTTCTTGAATAATATCTTCTAATCCTAACCTCTTCGATTACTCCTAATACCTTTACTACCTCTTCTACTATTGGATTTGAATTGACAATTACATCTCTGTGCTGATGTGGTATGGCGACATGAACTGATGTACTTACGTACGAAGTTCTACGTTGCATCTGACTGACTGACTAACTACCTCTACTAATATGAGATTTGAATTGACAATTCAATCTCTATGCGTGCTAATTATAGTATGACAACTTGACTTGATGTATGTACATACCAAGTTCTACATTGTAGCTGACTAAATGACTAATTGATTTAAGCTTAATATCATTGGATAAATAATAACTAGCCTACTACTAAGTGGAATGATATTATTATCATGATAATTTAATCTATCCCTTCGTTTCTTTTTTTTTTTTACTATTGTATGAAGAAAAAATTCGATATTTATTTATTTTTTTTTAGACTCTCTACTCATTGAATTAGTCTGTACACAATCCAATGAAGGTATTGATGAATTTTCACAATCTAGAACATGTTATGGTAATGCTGCTGAAGCTAGTCTATGGGCTCCTGCATTATGGATTAAAGTTGTGACAAGAGATTCATCTCGTTTAAATAATGCTTGGAGAGGTAATGATTGTTTGTTTGTTTGTGTGTTTTGTTAATAATTCTGCTTTATGATGAATTCTTCATTGTTTTTCTTTTGGTGGTAATGGTGGCGGGTGGGGGAGGCGCAGGGTGGAAGAATTTTCGATGTATGTTTATCGTCTAATATACAAACTTAGACTAATGTTAACTAGAATATCATTGGTAAGTGTTTTTAGTGTTCAGTTTAACTGATTTTAGCGGCTGCTTTAAACTCGACATTGTGCTCACCACTTTAGTAGTAGTGGCCTGTGGTACGACTCCAATATTTACGAATGATTGAGTATGTTATGAAGTAAATCATACTTAGGCGAACTCCATTTGTGTGTTGGCGGTAATAAGAAGCTAATTAGGGTTTTGCGTAAGAATTTACTTCATGCAATCGTTCACACAGGCAGACATGTGCATGAAAAGCGTACAGGCAAAACGGAGCGAATTGGAGAAGGCAAGCGAGCCAACTCAATTTGATGAAGCATGACTAAGTACTTATAGTTAGGCGAAGTAAGGAATGCATGCGCACTCAAATAAAATCAACCAAGATATAAGTGAAAAGTTGGCGAGGTCGAAAAATAAGTGAATAATAACTCGAACAGAAAAGATTAATTAATTTGCCCGAAAGCTAGGAGAAACCATGTGGGCTTAACATACTGGTACACACATTACATAATATTCATCAATCTATTCTACTTATATTGTTAGCAAATTATTTGAAAGCTCGTCAGAGAATGTACAGTATATAGAGTGTTCCGGTACCTATCATGACCGCTTTTGCCTGTTACCCCCGATGGAGCATAGGCTGCTGACCAGTTTTCTCCAACCAACTCTGTCCTGGGTTTCCCTTTCCAGTTCTGTCCAATATTTGTTCATTCTTCTCATATCTTTCTCTATTTCTTGGCGAAATGTATTCCTTGGCCTGCCTCTTTTCCGTTGGCAAGAAGGTTTCGGGTTAGGGCTTGTCTTGTGATGCAGTTAGGTGCTTTGCGTAGTGTGTGTCCTATCCACTTCCACCGCTTCTTCCTGATTTCATCCTCCACTGGAATCTTGTTGGTTCTCTCCCAAAGTACGTTGTTGCTGATAGTGTCTGGCCAACGAATCCGAAGTATTTTGCGTTGACAACCGTTAATGAACACTTGAATCTTCTGGATGATGGCGTTCGTGGTTCTCAAAGTTTCTTACGCGTACTGTAGAACTCTGTCTTGACATTTGTATTGTAAATTCTGACTTTGGTGTTGGTTGATAGTTGTTCCGCGTTGCAGATGTTGTTCAGTTGTAAAAATGCTAACCTTGCTTTGTCGATCCACGCCTTCACATCTTCATCAGATCCACTTTGCGTGTCAGTGGTGCTTCCCAGCTATATAAAGATTTCTAAATCTTCCAAAGCTTCTCCATCACATGGGATTCGGTCGTTTCATATTATTTTTTCATCGGAGAATCTTGCTCTTCTCTTTGTGTATATGTGACTATGACTACTACATAACTGTAAAACCTGGTTCATCATAATAGACCAGGTAATTAGTATTCAGTCAGTTGCAACGTAGAACTTCGTACGTGAGTACATCAGTTCATGTCGCCATACCACATCAGCACAGAGATATAATTGTCAATTCAAATCCAATAGTAGAAGAGATAGTAAAGGTATTAGAAGTAATCGGAGAGGTTAGGATTAGAAGATATTATTCACGAAGTATGATTCAATGAGATAAGTTTAGAAAGTGAAAACTTGAGGTGTTGAAGAATCCAGAAGATTAGGATTTGAGAGAACATAAAGAATAAATGCACTGGCGCCATTGCGAACGGTTTTGAGCCATGTCATTCAGGGTATCTAACCATCGATTATTATCATCTCGCGGACCCCAACCAGGTAGTCGACAATTACCGACATGGCTAAGTCCACTCGTCAATGACTTCATGGATTCATGCCATGAGGTAATTAGTATTACTATCATATAATTTCTGGCTGGTGCTTTTTTTTCTCCTTAGTAACATTGTTTTCTACCGGATGGGGATTGCCCTGATGCATACTACTTAGAAACTACGTTGTGAATAGTATCCACTGCAATACGACTCTTTTGTTCTTATTCTATAATCTAAGTGGTTTGTTTAATTACTAAGCTTTCATAATTGTTTTGAATAACAAAATCATCAGTGCATATTTCATACTTCATTACATCGTAATTCATTTGATCAATTAATCAATAAATACCATACTTTCTTATTTCAGGCATAAAAGATATGTCATGCTTAAGATCATCTGTTCAAGTTGTTTACATTACATTTCTCAATAAGACAAGATAAACAAAAGACTATCGTAATAGAGAGAGCTATAAAGTAATGACTTAATGATTGAGGTGTTCAACTTTCAACCACTAAGTCTTTAGTCAGAACTCCACTTCTACCTTACTTAAGTTTAGTCTGTCAGTTAGTATTATTACCCCTTTATGCATAAAGTGTGGTGTATACCCATGAAAAGTGAGTGAGTAAAAGTGAGTTTTTCTTTTAAAATATATGACTACTGAGTATTTGTCTAGTTTAGTTGTATTAAAGCCCACATCGTTCATCAAAGTCAACAGTGACTACTGGACCATCTATAAGTGTTACGAATGCACAACAACGTCAGTGAGTGTAGAATTTCTAACCTAACCGACTAAGCTTATTGTGTATAATCTATAATTTCGCTTTAAATCTGTTTATTACTCATGTAGATGGTTCCACTAAATGTAAAGGTGATTTTTTTTTAGTTCGTGATTACATTCATTTGCAAATAGCCGGCGGGATATGCACTGCTCAGGATCACTACTGATATATTATGCACATAAATTTCACTGTTTTTTTTGCAAAACACTTTGATTCCAACCACTCTGCTACAGATAGAACTCAATAGATATAGCTATCTCATAGCGTAGCGCATACCTTAGTGTATGACTTCTAGTGACGCCTTATTATAATAGCCACATTGAAAAATTAATTTATCCGACAATATTTTGAAATGGCTTTAATGTCAACCTATTTTTGTGGTATTGATATTCCCTATCGAGTCGATATTCTTACATTAATATTGAACAATAAGAGTTAGCCAATTAGGAACAATCAATTAGCTTCAAGTTTACAACGTTAATATTGTACGTGATATGAATAAACTTACACCTAGTTGTTGTGTCCATTGATTGTTTTATGTGGATCCATTGTAGGCAGTTTTAATACAATGGATTTAGGTTTTAAACTTAGAATTCGGTATTAGGATTCGAGATAGAATTATGTCCTGATCTTAAGTCACAAGTCTGAATTTTAAACCCTAGTTCTAACTTTATCCTCGAATTCTACATTCTAGTGATGAATCCTAAACTCTAACCAAAGATTTTAGAGTCCCAGTATGGTGGATACTACTCATAACGTAGCTTCTTAGTAGTATGCATCAGAGCTTCACATAGAAGTTACTATCAGAAGTGAAGTGTCGGATTGGAATACATAGCTCAATCAAAGTGTTTTTCAGGACCAGGACGGATATGAGTGAAGACAATAAGTCATCTGTTTGTTTGGCGAATGAAAGTTTAAAGATTATGTGTACATATTTTGTGAATACACAGTGACTTCTCCAATCATATACATATTCTAAAGATTCCCATTGTGAAAATTAGAACAACACATATAAGCGAACAATATTGTTTTCGATTAGATCGTCATCAGGCTTTACTCTAATATACATGAATATTTATATGAAAATGTTAAACCAATCAAGGCAATTTGAGTGATAATCACAATGAAATGAAAAAGATTACGTAACTACATCTAATAGGCAAAAGTTCAAGTGGATAATAGGAAAACAGGTGTACTGATAGTAGTAAGAAAATTTGTAAAATATGATAACATATTCCATCTAGTCTTAACTTATTCTTTGATTACACTAGCATTATCGCACATTCATCCATATTTAGTGTTTTTTAGTTGATTGGGTGGAGTCAAGAATTGTCCAAAGTCATTTAAAGAATCGATCACTCAAAACTTGTTCTTCTTATCCATTTTCACTACAGTGTCTTTTGATTATAGAACTATGGGGACTGTTAAGTTTCATTGAAATAATGACTCAATTATGGTTAGACGACCACTAGAAAGAAACTTGGAAGCACTGAAAAGCGGCCGTTTCGTCTTAGCATGGGATTCATCAATGTCAGTGCACATCCTCGACCCTCGCACGCTGGAGTCGAACCCAGCACTTTTGGTCTCGCGCGCAAACGCTTAACCTCTCTCTAGACCAGTGAGTCGGCATCGAACAGTATTATTGTTAATGATGTTTATGACAGTTTCTTTTTTTTTTACTTCATTATCCTAGGTGAAGCTTCTTCAAAACATGCAGCATGTTTAGGAAGACAAGCGGAAGAGTTAATCCTTGCATCTCATTGGTATCAACGAGGTCAACCGCAACATTGGATTCGTGTCATTGTACATTGGTTACCGCATACCACATCTTCTGTCGAAATCAATAATCTGGATGTAGATTTACGTGATTATCTTCAAAATATTGGTGCAACACTGCTTTTAGGTTCGAACCCCTGGATTCATAATACTCATGATGATGATACTAATAATAACACTGATAGTATTCCTGATATTATTAATTCCAAAAATTCCAACTATACTATATCTATTGATAAATTAATTTTACCTGTATATAAATTTAAAAAATTTCTACATAGTTTCATTGAATATCACAACAATGACAATGTGTTTTGTGAGTTTAAACAATTTAAATATGAAGCTGTAGAGAAGATATTGACATTATTGAATAAATTATCTGATAATTGTTATTCTAATGAAGAAGAAGAAGAAGAAAATGATCATGTGATTAGTACAGATGAAATCAATGATTCATTTGAGCTCACGAATCCATTAGATGCTGTATTACAAAAATGTGCATTATGGCCATTTTCATTGGACATTTATAATCAGTAAGTGTTATATTGTTAAATTGGATTGTGTTACAATGAGATGTCCACTGATTCCCTCTCTCTCAGTCAGTCAGTCAACAGCAACGTAGAACTTCGTACCTACGTAACATCAGTTCAAGTTGCCATACCACATTAGCACAGAGATGCAAATGTCACTTCAAATCCCATAGTAGTCAGATGAAAATTCTAAACGGAAAATTTTTGAACCCAGTTCAAGTTTAACATTAATGTCGATTGTTAAAATTTAACAAAATCGTAATTTATATTGTTTCAGAGTAGTAACTTTGCACTTTTTTAGTAATGATCATTAAACGTTTTTGTAGTGAGCCAATCAGAAATCAGGATTTCAGGAAGGATTTGATTGTGACCGATTCGGTCTCGTGTGTTTTTACGGGTATGAGGGCGAATGTCACTTCTCGGCTGCCCAGACCGTGGAAGGATACTTCTTAAGTGACCTGAAAAGGGGGTTTGGCTAGCGTTTATCTTAGCGACTTTGGGGACGTAATTTGGAGTCCAAGAGACAACCAATTGAAGCCGGTCGCGTATGGTGTTTTTATGGGAAGCTTTTGACCTGTTAGCTCCGCTCTTTTTATAGCCCTTATTGGGCAGCCCTTACCGCTGGAGACGGAAATCCGTAGGGTAAGGCGAGGTGTGACATTTTTAGGGTTGACCTTTTCTAACCCCTTCTTTCCTTGTAAGACGGAAGCATCGCTGCAGATGCTTCTGTCACACCCGTCTGCAGTCAGCAGTACGACTTCGCCCTCAGACCTTGAGTTACTGCTTTTACTCTTACCGTTCTCCAGTCGACCTGTCTGGCATGGTAGAACCTTCAAGAACATACGTTCCAGCCAATATAGCTCGGTTGGATCATCACGATAGGCAAGCCCGACCTCCATGTCAAGGTGGCAGCTACAGTCGGGATAATCAGAAGTGGCCAAATGAGAAGGTCACTTGATAGCAATCAGAAATGTCCTAAAAGACTAATGTTTATCATTAGTTAATAGATGGGTTCATTTTCTAAGGAGAACGAATGTATATTTATCTAAATGAGTATTCATATGTATAGGATTCGATGGCCAAATGAAGTTTCTACTTTAGTCTTGCCTTGTCCAAGTAGTCAGTTTAGGGGGGTTGGTTAACATGTATCACGTTCAGGTGTCTGAGACACTGCGCTTCATAATATTTCTTGTTAAATTTTATCGATTCAAGAAATAATAACATCTAATTAATGTGAGAATTTTCGGGTAATAAATTTCAAGTATTCAGCGAAATTTCTATAACGTTTAGTTGATATGAGAAATTTACACTTGTTTATTAAATCTCTTATGTGGTGGAGTTTCGTCCTCTCAGTTGGGAATGTTCTGGTTATGGAGCTTTCATTGTTCTTCTTAACAATATAATCTACAAAATAAACTGTTCAAACCATGGAAAAAACTTTATCAGACAAAGTTGAAGTCCTTTTTCAGCTTCCTCTATGTGAACATCAATTAACAGTCAAACACCATGACATCTCTTCTCTTATATCAATACATACGGACAAGTATGGACATACAGTCGGTTAGAGAAATGTTGGTGTACTGGATAAAGGGAGTACAAAGAACAACAGAATTTTTAGAAGCTTGACATTCAGGTCAATTGGCAATCAACAACACTTCGACATTGACCCAATCTATCAACCAATTAGAAGAATCATAGATAAGCTTTGGATCAAAGACTGAATGAAAAGGGGAGGGGTACAATCAAAATGAAGAGGTAGATAAAGACAGGTCTATAGTCAATGATAACCATTCAATATCGAAGTCAACAGGACAAGCTCCAAGTCACAGGTGGAGAAATTTGGATACTTTACTTCATGTACTTGAAGTTTGTGTTAATGATGATGTTGTTCAGAAGAATGATGAAATCTTTTTAACCACCAAAACATCCATCTGAGAGAACGATTGATTGGTCCCATTTGATCTTTCAGCTTTCGTTCATTACACTACAACTAAATCCAACTTGTCAATGTCGTACACATTTACAATGTTAATATTTCTTACTACTCCGCCTGTAGCCCTTCTGGATAAAAGAGGAAGGTTGGGCATGTTGTTAGCGACCCTATCCTGTAGAAAACTGATGCGCTCGTCAATCGATAGGCTTGAAATTATTACGAGTTCACCTTACACGGTAAACGGACGGAAGCAATGACTCAGTGACACGATAGGCTATTCTAATCCGTTGTCCCAGCCCCGGATAACTATAGTAAGAAGTCTTGATAAGGAGTAGAGACTGTATTCTACAAGCACTCGGAAGATACGAGGTTGTTAAGTGTACAAATCAAGCTTATTTATACAATGATAGCAACGCCCTTTGGAGAGCTTCAAAATAGCGTACCAAAATAATCCATCAACCAATGACAGTCATGGATTTTCCGAGTGGGAAATATGAGCTCAAGGTCAACTGAACGACTTATGGACGAAAACATTAGGACCCTTTCCAAGTGAGTTATGTGAATCTAACGTCCCCAAGAAAAACTAATCGCTACAAAAAATGCTAACCAGAAGAAACAATTCGCACCATTTAAACTCTGCCCCAAAAGTTGGAAGGTCTTCTTCATTTAGCAGAGTGATGATGCTTTATGATGAAAGTTGAGTTTATTCGGAAGTCACGAAGCCGGTACCGCTTCTCACAGACCAGATCGACCATTAATACTAATTGTTAGAACAGTGAGAAAACATAATTGATATGAAAAATGTGATGTATTTACGCTATACACGTTTTGAACAATCTTATCACACATATTTACTTGTCAAGGCATTTTATATGAAGATTAATCAAGGAGCAGTTAAACAAAAGTTCAAATAGACATAAGGTGATTATTATTAACGTTGGATAAAGAAAATTAATGTAATATTCTATCAAAATTTATAAAAGGGACTATTTGTCCTAAATATCAATTGTATTATAAATTGTAAAATCACAAATCACATTCCATGTATTCTCTTCTCTTCTCTTACGCCTGTTACCCTTAATGGAGCATAGGCCACCCACCAGTTTTCTCCAACCAACTCTGTCCTGGGCTTCGCTTTCTAGTTCTTTCCAGTTTTTGTACATTCTTCTCATATCTTTCTCTATTTCTCGGCGTAATGTGTTCCTTAGCCTTCCTTTTTTCCTTTGACCTTGAGGGTTCCAAGTGAGGGCTTGTCTTGTGACACAGTTGGGTGCTTTTCGCAGTGTGTGTGTTCTATCGACTTCCACCGCTCCTCTACTGGAATCTGGTTTGTTCTCTTCCACAGTAAATTGTTGCTGATAGTGTCTGGTCAACGAATCCGAGTATTTTGTGAATACAACTGTTGTGGATGATGTCTTTGGTAGTTCTCCATGTTTCCGCTCCATACAGTAGAACTCTGTCTTGACATTTGTATTGGAAATCCTGATTTTGGTGTTGATTGATATTTGTTTGGAGTTCCAGATATTTTTTCAATTGTAGAAATGCTAACCTTGCTTTGCCGATCCGCGTCTTCACATCTGCATCGGATCCACCTTGATTGTCGATGATGCTGCCAACATTCCATGTTTTTTTCTCTTTTCATTAAATTCCATTTTAATCATTTTATTATTTCTCTTTTTTTTATTTTAGTGTAGATAAAATGAATCGTATCAATTTGGATGTTTCAGCTTTGATTGCATTCGTTTCGGAATTATCTCAATTTAATCCAACTTATTCTTCTTCTATTGATTCTTCATTTCAATCAATCGATAATCAGAATAATGCTGAAATTGTAGCAAATAAAATTCTTGAATGTTTACAATCTGTAGAAAGACGTACACAATTACTGATGAATTATCCTTCATTAAAATTAGGCAAATTTAAATGGTTAACTGAATCCGAAGCTGAAATACCAGTACTTTTATCAATGAATAAATATCTTCAAGGTATTTATTTAATATGAGTAAATTAGTTTGATTTATATTCTGTATTATAATAATAAGTAATTTCATTCAGTAATTACCAGAAGAAAAGCTTGACTAATGAAATTTCAATCAGATCCAATGTAAGACACTTCTTACTCACTGATTGATGCAAAGATGTAAGGAATTTCTACGTTGAAAAGATGAATGATATTGACAAGTTGACAGTAGGTGTAGTGTAATCAACGGGGGCTGAAAGAAGATACAGTATACTGGCCAAGCGTCTTCATTCACATGTCTTCTGTTCCCCCAGAACATCCAGATCGCGCCAAAAATCTGTATCCTATACTTCTTTCTTCGGTCGTAATTTCAGGGTGACACATTGCTGCACATCCACTGCATACTACCTATGAGCTCCGCCATAAGTATTATATACTACAGTAGAGTATCGTTCAGTTACTGAACATTATTCAAGCCACCAAAAAGTACTCACAAATCTGATTTAGAGAAAGAGTCAAGTAATCTTCAACACTGAATAGCTGTTTTAGTCATTTAAACTTGATTTCATCAACGACACATGAAGTTTTCTGTATTTATTGACTGCTGAATTATATATATTCATGTTTAGAAATTTAGGTAACTAACTATAATGCATGAAAACATTGAACATTTGTTTTAAGTATGTGGAGTCTAATGATGTAAATTATTAAAGTTTTGTTGAAATTATGAATCGATGATTGTTAGACTACGATTAGAAACCTAGAAGCACTATGCGGTTCTTTCGTCCTAGTGTGGGACTGGTCAGTAGTGCGCAGTCAGAAATAAAAAAATTGTGCTCACTAGTGACTAGCTTCGCGAAGAAATTCTCGGAGTTCTAGTGAGAAGCCGTGACCGGTGGAATTCAACTCTGTCAGGTGAGGTCTAAAGGTTAAGGGTTCGCGTTGGAGACCGAAAGTCCTGTCTTCGAATCCTGCAAGCTGGAATCGTAGATGCGCATTGCTGACGAGTCCCATACTAGGACAAAACGGCCGTATAGTGCTTCCAGGTTTCTGATGGTGGTCTAATCTCACAATGATCAATTCATGATTTTAATGAAACCCAACAATCTTCACAACTCTATAATGTAAATTATTAAAGTATCATATTTCAAATTTACAATGTTAATTGGTTTGTATTAATGCGTTTAGATAACTACATTGAACTGATAGTCTGAAATACACTTCATTCTAATACTGTTTTTGTAATTTTTTTGACAATTTAACTATCCAACTCATAAAATGCAACGCTGCCAATATAAATCCACTTAAGTTTCACATGTTTCAATGAAAACTATTTTATATCAACATGTTAGTTACTATATAATGCGAAGAAACTCTTCATTACTGAATGTTCTGTGTACCAACCAAATCACACTTGACGGAGTAGCTTTGAACGATATCGAAGCCTTATCATATCTGAGCAGCATGATTGATAAGCAAGGTGGATCTGATGCAGATATGAAATCGTGGATTGAAAAAGCAAGGGCAGCATTCCTACAAATGAACAACATCTGGAACTCGAAACAACTATCGATCAACACAAAAGTCGCAAATTTCCAATACAAATGTCAAAACAGTTCTACTGTATTGGGAGGAAACTTGGGGAACTACGAAAACCATCATCCAGAAGAATCAAGTGTTCATTAACGGTTGTCCATGAAAAATACTTCAGATTTGCTGGCCAGACACTATCAGCAACAACTCCTATGGGACAGAACAAACTAGATTCCAGCTGAAGAAGACCAAAGAACACACTGCATCAAGAATTGGAATCAGGCAGGAAAAGAATCAATAGCAGTTGGGTAGAACTGAAAAGGTAGGCCCAAGACAGAGTAGGTTGGAAAATACTGGTCGGTGGCGTAAGTAAGTAATTAAGTAATACTTTTATTAGATATTCTCTACAACTCTAAACCTCAACTACAAACTGTAAGTTCGCGACACAATAATCACAAATAGAGAGCCACAATATTTAAAATGTCAATGTCTGAAAACAGGATCTTAACATAATGAAACAAGATCAATAGTGCCAATACCTTAGCTCTCTTGATAGATTAATATTTTACTTATTGATTGACAAATTACTTACACCCCCTAACGGAGTATAAGGCCGCCGACCATCATTCTACAGCCTACTGTCTCCTGACCCTTCTTCCTTTCCAATTCTATCAAATTGCTCTTTATTCTCTTCATATCCTCTTCCGAGTCTTGGTGAAATGGCCTTAAGGATTCCAAGTTGGTGCTTGTCTTGTCATGCAGTTGACTGTTTCCTGAATTGTGTGATTATTTGACATGATAGATTTTCTTTCTTTCTACAGTTGGCTTTTCTCTTTCTCCTTTTTTTTTAAAAAAGGTAAAGTACCCATTGTATGCTTAAGTGCTATTCAATCATTTTTAAATATTCTTGCATTAATCTCTGGACCAAATGAATGGAAACGTGGAATCCAATTAATTAGTCGATTAGTTATAATACCTGATTTAAATTCATCCGGTGAAATAATTCCACCAATTGATAAAACAAAAACACAATCAAAGAATACAAATTATTTATTAACTCAAGTAAGTTATATTTTATATTTATATATATTAAATATGATAGGACAACAGTATATTATACTGATGGCCTTGAAGAAAACCAATCAGAATTAAGATAAAACCGCATATATTTTTTGCTCAAACTTTAAAGTGTAACGATCGAGAACTGATTGGCTATTCATGATTTCAGTAATAAACAACAATCTCCGTAACTCTAGTTGAGAAATGCACTGATTTTTGTCTTCCAATCTGGTTAAACAACTATTGGTGACGATATTTATTAATTGTTTTTGTTACAACCTTCTTCCATCTCTATTATGATTGATGTTTAAGAATTTACAAACAGTTTCACTGTAGATTAAATCCAATGTGGTGGCCGATTTTGTTGACGTCGGGATCACCATTTGTAGTGCATTGGCGAGCGAATGCGCGGAAGAATGAACGAAGCAGCGGACAAAGCGTACGAAACGACGTGAATTGGAGAAGGCTAAGAGCCAACTCAAGGAGATAGAGCATGACTAAGAATATATAGTCAGACAAATATAAGACAGACATGCAACAAGCGAAATAGGCATACATGAATAAAAGCGACGAATGATTAACAAGGTCAAATGACACGTCATGTGAGCTCATACAAACCAGACAATAATAAGGACGAATGGTACATATGTGGAGGCACTACACCAACATTGAAGTAGTTGTGTATTGTCATCAAATTAAATGTTTGTTACTTAGCGAGCTGGGAGAGGTCGGTTATTTTACACTTCGACCGATTAATTAAATGTACAGTCTTTCAGATATTTTGGTGTATTCGATTTTATTTCTCTATCCCTTCTCACTTCATTAATTGTCGGTTGTTGATTGTTGACTTATGATACACGTTCTAGTCAGTCGAATGACCATGTTTTTAGTATATTTAGCATAGAGTGAGTGAACTAACTGTTCATGCATTGTTCCAGTAGAGTAAACAAGAAATTCAAAAGTTATTTCAGTTACTATACTCCGTCAGATTGATTACTAAGCTGCCGACCAAGTACAGCTTCAAATGTTTGACTTTAAACTACACTCTAATTGATGAAGACTAGTGATACTTTATTCGTATAGTGGAAACATCAAGTGAGTAATATTACATCTCTCCCTAAATTTCACATACCTTCGACTTGAAATGTTAACTGACATAGAACTGGATAAGAAAAAGCCTAAAAGAAGGGAGGAAAGATCAAGATATGGAATCATTCTATGAAGTCTTTATAGCTGGAGAAAACACATTAGGTGCTATAACGTGATAGAACGTATTCGGTACAACATAACTAAGCTAAAATTGTTTAAACAAAGTTGAATAATGATTGTCAGTGAAATTTAGGACTCGTATTTTATCTTATTTGAGACTCATCAGCTGAATGTACCCATATACTTAGTGTTGATGCTTTCACTGGGGCTTGAATTGAGTACGTTTCACTTGAAATACACCTGACACATTATCCACTCAACTATTAATTAAGCCTACATAGTCACTGGCTTGTAGGATGAGAATGAATTTTTTTATTATTATGCAGACATTTACACACAAAATAAAACTTATTGACTTAGTTCATTATATCTGAATGAATGCTTTGCTTAACTCTACTTATCCTCAGTTTTTTTTTATTTACCGTTAAGTAAAACTGACTATCACTCTCTTACTATACAACTAACTACATAGTCAGTCAGTCAGATGCAACGTAGAACTTTGTACGTAAGTACATCAGTTCATGTTGCCATACCATATCAGCACAGAGATATAATTGTCAATTCAAATCCAAAAGTAGAAGAGGTAGTAAGGGTATTAGGAGTAATCGGAGTGGTTAGGATTAGATATTATTCAGGAAGTATGATTCAGTGAGAAAAGTTTAGAAAGTCAAAACTAGGAGTGTTGAAGAATCCAGAAGATTAGGATTTGAGAGAACACAGAGAATAAATGCACCGGCGCCATTGCAAACGGTTTCGAGCCATGTCATTCAAGGTCTCTAACCATCGATTATTATCATCTTGCGGACCCCAACTACGTAGTCGACACCTACCGACACGGCTCAGCCCACTCGTCAATGATTTCATGGATTTCTGCCATGTTTTGGTTGTCTAGTATTCTATATAATAATTTATTTTAGATAGATGATTATGTATGATACTAGAATAACTTCCAGTTTGATTAGTTCATTAATATTCAGTCTTCTCGACTATAAATTTTATTCAACAAAGCAGATCTCCAACTTATTGTTCATTATTTGAAGGTCACATTTTTAAAAACCTTTGTAGGTGGGATGTTTGTTTTTATTTTTGCACTAAACTATGGTGACTTTCAAATTTATCCTTCATCTTTCGTAGTTGGGTTTTTTTTTAATGTTGTGGGTAAACATAATTAAATTATTCAGTTGGTCCACTGCACCCGCATAAATTGACTTGAAGTAGTCGACAAGATAAACTCTTCCTGGAGCCCTTCTGGGATTACTGCCGGTCTCAAGTCCAGATAAAGGAGAATGGTTAAGTATAAGATTAACGATCCCATCCCGTAGAAATCCAACTCGCCAAAAACATGCTGACCAGATAAATAATTCGCCTATGCTTTATTAGGGGTAACAAGCATAAGTAAGTATTAACCTGGTTTTCATCCTAGTCTACACTTATCATCTACAGAGGGTTGATGCTGCCTGTGTAACGTAAGATTGCACACCCAGCTTTACAGTGTTCAATGTTATCATTAATCTATCCGGGTCACGACTGTTTGACCGATCACTGAATGAATAAGTGGTGACCAGTAACTTATTAGTCCAATCATTTAATACTACTGGTCGTATTCTATCGATAAAGTCGCATTATATGGGGTTACTAGTAGTTTAAGTGACTTAACATCAAATGTATTATGTTAATATTTCAGATCGTGGTTTTATGCACCAACTTTTAATAGAGGAGCATCAGAAATTTTTTTAAAAGATGACCACAAACTACTTACTGAAATGACATTTCAGTAGTTCCTTAAAAAAGAAAAATTGATTTTACCTTTACACCTCTTTTTCAGTACTAATGTTTTAAAAAGTTAGTTATATTATCAATAAACAAGAAAAATCACTTTCCAATTTTCATTTTGTTTAGCGTATCATGGAAGTTGGCAATGTCTTAGAAGCTCTGACAATCACATCCAATGCTAGTTTTCTACGATCTGTTCGTAAATCGGTAAGGTTTACTTATTTCTTTACGTTGATTATTTTATCCTGAGCTGAGGGAGAGAGAGCGGTTAACAGTCAACTTAATTGAATGATGCATAATCAGACCTTGATTAAGGTGTTTGTGCGTGGTTGCATACATGACTGGTAAGAATAAAGGATATTCATCGGTTACAAGTATTCGATCATCAGTGTCTCTGATGGCATAACTCGTACATCCTGGGACTTATTGAGTAAGCAGTGCTAGGATGAATCTTGATCAGTTGAGGTATTTGGGACACATGTTACGTGTATGCCTAACCACCGACGGCTTCGATGGGCGATATTGTTTGCTGTAGCAGTACACTAGAAGAAAGCTGTTAGCGGCCAAACCAAAACATCACACCGAAACATAAAATCATTCACAACTGAAATGAAACACGTCGATTGGTGTTGACGAGTCAATCGTAACCGGGGTGATTAACGACTGTGAATGACATGGCCGGAAAAAAAATAGTTTGCAATGGGGCGCAGATGTATCCATTGTTTGTCTTCTCTCAATTTCTAATCTTCTGTATTGCTCACAATCGTTTTTCCCCTTTTTTTTAGATTCATTTCACTGAATTATATTTCTCCAATCATATTTTCAATCTCTAATTTTTCCATTACAACCAAATAATGTTACAACCTTTATTATTATAGGATTGTAATGTGTCGAATTACTGCGTGTTCTTAAGCTCGGTAATTAACTCGTTCAAACAATCGTTGCCAAATAGCGTCTGACGGTTTATAAATCAGAAGATGAATTCGTAGTGTTGAATACGTTTATTCGGGACACACCACAAAGCGAAGCGGAGAAGCAGTGAATAAAACGAATGAAGCGACGTGAACTGGAGAAGGCTTTTGAGCCAACTCCTCGGATTACAATGCGAACGAATGGGCGAAGTACATTGGAGAAGGCTAAGAGCCAACTCAAAGAGATAGAGCACGATTAAATATATATAGTCAGACAATAATAAGACACATACGACAAGCGAAATAGGTATGCACAGACATGAATAAAAGCGACAAATGATTGACAAGGTCAAAAGCAAGCGATACAAATCATGTGAGTTCATGGGGAAATTAAGAGATTAACATTAAAGCGAAAAGGATGAGTAAGCGCGTAGGCGTAAACAATGCTCAGTCGTACAAGCTCATACAAACCAGATAATAAAAAATACCAATGGTACATATGAGTTGTTGCTATACAAATAGCTTGGTTACATAAGTTAATCGAAAGGCGTAATCAAATTAAATATGAGCGAACTCAAGTTTATGTGGAGGCACTACAGGATTTCAATTGACAATTCCATCTCTCAGTGCTAATACGGTATAACAACTGGAACTGATTTACGTACATGTACTAAAGTTGACATTGCAATTGTCTGAATATAAAAGGTTAATATACTACTTTATATTCTCAACGATTGACATTTTGACGTCAAGTCAATTAGACAACACAAATGTGTGATAGCTGTAATTGAACCAACTTTAGAGCAGCAGTTCAATAAACTGAGTTAATGCCTAAATCATACACAAAGTTATGACGTGCAATACAACCAACCTCTACTACACTGATAGGTTTTTATCAATAATATCCTTGTATAGAATGAGTGAATCATTTATACTTTTCGCATAAACTTGGTCAGTTTGTAGTGTGTCGATTTCGACATGTTCTTAATCTTCGTGATTGGCTCGTCCAGACAATCGTTACACTAACTAGCGTTTGACGGTTTATCAATCAGAAGGTGAACACAAAGTGTTGAATATGTGACACACCACAAATAGAACAGCAGCAGACTACAAGCGCTATAAGATAAAATTGTCATGCGAGCGCCGGAAAGCAAGCAAGCGAGTGATGAATAGGCGAATGAACAGATGAAGCGATGTGGAGAAGGCTAGTGAGCCAAGTCCAAGAGACAGAGCACGACAAAGAATATTTAATCAGACAAAAATAAGACGGCCCTGTGACCAACAAGATAGACATGCACAAACATGAATAAAAGCGACGAATGGTTGACAAGGTCAAAAGACAAGTGGAACAAGTCACGTTGTAGTGAAGGAGAACACAGGTGAAGGCAACCGAATAGTATTTATCTCAAATTACAGAGTTAATTGGTAAAATAGGAAAACCATATCGCAAATCGTTAATTTGCAAAATATCAATCCATCATATCGAACTGAACTGTTCCTGTTGCAAAACATCAACAATCCATTGTCTGACATTTCACTGTTCATGTGTTTCATACAAATCCCATTGTGTTCCCACTCTTCCTTTCTTGATCTTCCCTCATCTTTTGCTGCCAGATATTACGTTTTTACTCTCGTCATATACTACTTATAAGCAGCGCGCACCACAATGTGATC